CGAAAGTTTTCTTTCATTAATACTTGATACTATATCTTCGGGGGGTGAATTGGCAAATTCATGCCTTTGATAAACAAAAATTTCGCAATTGAGATATTCTCTCGTCTCGAAGAGCCATGTTCAAGCTTTGGGAAACACAGCTTTCCAATTAAATTGGATGATTTCGAAATGATTTCTATAAACATACTTAAAAGCATAGAATTGAAAATCATGGAGTTTTTTTTACCCCGTTTGGTTTTGCTTTGTCGTGTTTTGTTTTGTTTTTTTAATTTTTTTACTCTTCTACGATTCAATTTTAGAAATTATTTCCTCGACTAAGTTTAATTCTTTGCAGCTGTGATCTGATCTCCTTGGGCTGAATGCTGGCAATATCTAACGAATCAGGACTGTTACGCGTTATTGAAAAATTTACCCTCAGATTCATTTGGATCTTGTTGTAGTCTGTACGTGCATACCGAAAAATTTAATAGTTTCAAGAAAAGACATACCAGCAGGTGCTTCGACGTCTAAAAAACAATCCTAATTTTGAGCAATTGTTTGATCAGTTTTGATACTATTCAGCGCGGCATGACTCTACACAGAGCGCTTAGTTGCTGCACGACTTGATCTTGCTGATTGACCGTTGTTTAAGACGATGACTTCTATTGAAATCTTGTCGGCAGCACTTGTCGACCAGACAACGCTTACGTAAGAAACACGGTCGGAAAGTGTTGTTTTTCTCTATGAGGGATTAGGAGCCATCTCACTGCTAGAGCTAAGCCCACAGAGAGTAATTTATGCGGTTTTCGTACGGAGAATAGGAAAAAAACAAGACTAACGCGTTTGCGTGTTTCAGTGGTCAATCAAAACATCGAGGGTGCTGAAGCTGTGGGGATAATTCACCAGGGAATAATTCTGGATTCATTTTAACTCCTTTGCTCCGTATAGACGCAAAAGCAAGTGCATCGTAGCCTTTTCTGTGTGTCCAAAGCGAATCAAAGGGTTTACGTTTCCAGAGTGATGGCACTTCCATAAGATCATTATACTGACCAGGGAGTAATTAAAGAGGAGCAATTTAACGAGCCAGCTGGAATATCCATTGATCAAAACAAAAATGTTTTCGTTGGAGATTATGGAAACCACAGGATCTAGATTCTTATGATCAGTGGCAAAGGTGTTGTATGGATTACTTTGGAGATGAAGAAAGCCTGTATATCGTTATGGGTTGTCTATAGACAGCGAAGGATGAAAAGAAGAAAAAAACTGTAAACTGCTCAATATGAGGATAAAGTACTAGAAAATTCAGGCGATCGCTGTCTGTAAAACAAGTTCCTCATGAACACCAAGATCTTTGTTCAGTAACACGGAACTAATCGTGCATTGCATAATGACGGAAAGAATCACTCATTATAATTCCCTCTTTCAAGGCAACGACGAAGGCACGTTCATTGGTTAATACGGGGATAGAGGCCAATAGAGTCTTTTCTCTTTAAAGTGAAACGCTAAAGACAATACGTGGAAATGATCCCTGTATTAATCCAACCCACTGCGTTCCGTATGAAGGTAGCCCTAAGACGTTTGATACTCATGAACATTACAATACAGTTTCTGACAGCGACAGAAACCTCCGCTCGGCTTCGGAAAACAAGGAGGACAACGAGGCGAGTTGAAGGGCCCGCGATATTTTTAGTCCAGTGAACAAAGCAAGATAGGTCATGGCAAAACCACAGAGTGCAAGTGTTTGAACGGCACGAAAAGCCGATTTAGAAAAAAAGGCGAGGATATGGGCAACTTTAGTCTTTCTTCGTCTTTGGCCATCCTAAGAAATAGTCAAATTGTTGTGTGCAGAAGATATAACGATCATTTCAGATATTTGATCGATTGCTAAAAATATTACCCTTCTATCGTCCAGTGTGATCGATTGGGTGTGAGCTGTCCTAAGAAGGACTATTATGGTTGACAATGAGTGAAGTTTCGATGACCTAAACACATGAAATCCTCAGAGTCAAGAGAAGAGTTGTGTGACATTCAGATCATTACAGGCCAGTTTCATTACAACTGATTGATCAGTCCTTAAACAAGAGCATCACTATCGAGCTTTACCTTTGGGGTCATATCATTCATTGTAAAATAAACTTGAAATTTTTGTAATTCACCCAAATTTAAAACCTTAAGCTAGTCTCTGAGATGTTTTTTATATCTGTGTTGTACGACACCTACCACTGTGAAAAATATATGCAGCAACTAGAAATTAGCCACTGTCTAAGTCACGCCCATTTAATCGAGTGTTTTAATTTCATCTTAGCCTTGCTACAACAAGAACGAGTGATGCTGAAGCAGGAATAACTTTTTATTTTTTTCCTTTTCCATAACGGTTCATCATCGCCTCTTCCGCAGAGTTTACATGGCGACTACTTAAAGCATCCTTATAGCCGTTCACTTGTCACTGCGTGGTCCAAAGTCGTTTTATGCTCTGTGCAGTCATAAATCATTTTGAAAACCCATAAAATTAGGAAAATTCCAGATAAAAGTGAAAAAGTCAAACGACGGGCTTCTGCTATCCGCGTTCATAAATCATTTTTCTTTATTTCACAATTCGTGGGAACAAATGCGATTCTCGTCGTTAGAAAAGGCATTAAAAGAAGATCTAGAATAATCGGGAGAAATTTGACTACGAAAGGCTCTTGTGATAAATTTTAATTCAGTTCGCCCGATTAAAAAGGGGCTATGTTTGTCACTATGTTTGTCACTATGTTTTGGTTTCTGACAATAAGCTGCAAAGCAGCACAAAGTTCGAATATGTCTTTTGTCTTAACCCGTAAACTGTTGGCTTATACCGATTCTTCTCTTCTCTATGATATTTAAATATATAATTTAAAAAAAAAGGACTAAAAGAGAGCTTCCTTTCTCCTTACTTGATGTTTTAAATTGCTAGTGCAGCCGTTTAAGTCCAAAAAAATATCCGATAGAAAATAACCTTTCGGCGGTTTTCTTTTAGAGCTTAATGCTTCCGCGGTGTGGTTCTGTAAAGGTTGTTAAATTATTTAATTACATCCTGAATTAGTTACCACGTAGACCTATAAATTAAACTAATTAATTTAATTGTCTGTGGTAATCCATTCGTACTGTTTAATTCAAAGAAATAAGCTTGAGTTAAATTTATCTTTCTATCAATTATAAGTAATTCCAAGTAAATAGATGGAAAATGTGTTAAAAGACGGACGGTAGTCAAATTTGGAAAAGGCTTTTAGGGATTCTTCCCCAATGGTCATTTATTACACAAACTTACATTTAGATGCACTAGACAAAAACTCGAGGGTATATTTATCAGGCTAAAAAGCCTAGAAAAATTACAAAGAAAAAACCGCATCAAAAGTTGAATTATTTTTTCAGTGCAGTGATATCAAAGCTCTAGATCACAGAGACTTGATAGGTATGCAAGTTCTTTATTCGGATGGAAAGTGCAACCGAGAACTAAGCAAGCAAGATACAGTAGGCTTTTCAACTCAGTCTGCATCTAGCTCTTCTTGAGGTGTTCTTTGGGGCGTCGACCCTTTTATTATGAAAGAAGACCCAACTGGGTGTCCTGCAACTCTTTCATAGTTTATTGATGTTGTGAGAACAGGTAGATGTGTAATACGTTTATTGATCTCATGGTGAAGCACCACAGTTTTTGCCAAAAAAAATTGCATCAGATTTACGAAAGTATCATCTGTCATGGTTGTCAGCAAATACGATGAATAATATCAGATGCAAGACTTATTTAAACGTTTTCTTAAAGGTTGGGATGTGTTGATTGCTCAGTCTGTATGCAAAAAGAGGAGCTTTTGTGTTCAAATGATGAAAGTTCTGGAATTAATCCTTTCTTTATAATAAATTAGGGGTATGACGCTCGCTAAACTTTCATCATTAATTGAAACGCAGCTTATTCTCATAGATGTGACGCCAAACAAACGAAAAACGACAAGTTATAACGTTAATGACCTAACTTTTTCTTCTCGTTACACTAAGCTAATAAAGTGGTGAAGCAAGGATTTTGACCATAAAAGTTAAAATTTATTATGAATTCACGTACGAATAAGTTGGTGAATCAAAGAGGGAAACGTCTCAAATATCAGAGAGGTTTCATCGATGCAATCTGAGGCCAATATCTTTCTGATCATTAGGAAACATGAACCGAAAGGTTAACGAATAAGACAGCTAACCGAATGGCATAATAACTTTGCACGTCCAATTCATTTAACTCGAAACCTTTAAGTGAAGGTGCTTACAAAATTGTTTATCATTTGCATACGACTTCATTTACCTTCTAGAATCTAATCGTCGCTATATTATTTCAAAAGGTCTTACCATGAAATAATCATGAAATAACACGCAGTAAGTATAAAGCTGATAAATTAACTGTCTTTTAATTCGTCAGATTTTATCATGTGACTGGCTGCATGAAATAATTTTGTGAGTTAACTTGTCAAATTTCCTCCCAATAAATATAATTCGAAATTAGATATCCTTTACATTGGGCAAAGCGTATAATTGCTATACTTAACTCAATGTGGCTTGTGTGAAAATTAACGCCTATTTTTCTTTACCTCCTCGACGCCATAAATTTAAGGAAATTAACATAACAAAAAGTTGATTTTCTCTTAAGAAGTAAGTGAACCCATATTCTAGATAAAACTAGATAAAACCTGAATAAGAAAAAAACTTGATTTCGTTTCGCTCATAGACTTTAAAAAACATCAACCTTCGTATTGTTATACGTTTTGAAAACGTACGAAAAATCGCTACATGGAAGAGTAGGACAAACTGATATTAATTTCGGCGGAAAATAAAACGAAAGCATTAATATGATATAACCACCTGAGGCCACCTTTTGTTTTGAAAAAGCTTTTTACCAAAGAATCTCTTTTGATAACCATTCAACTGTAGAGTATTTTCCTTTTAATTAAAAACCCATATGCGACTGATTATGAAGCAAAAACTTCCTTGAATTACTGAATCAATTATTATTGTATAAAGCGTGCTTTGTTAAGTGTAAACTTCATTTGGTTACGGTAATCTCCAGCAAAGCGGGTGATAAAATCGGAAAGGTTGACTGATACGTCGAAAACGTGAGTACATACACAATGTGCATGAGTAGGGAACATGTCCAAATTCAATTGGTCTTTAAGTCTGGCAGTTTCTTAGGTGAAAAAACATTTCCAAACACACAAAAAGAAATTATTTTTTTGCTTGTGTGTTCTCTCGTATGACTTTCAGTTTAAGTTCCGTGTTCGGGCGTGTTTACAGAATTTTCTTTTTTTCGCTCTTTGATAAGGATTATGACTTTCGCATGAGTGAACAACCTGAAAAACCACAGAAAGCGATTATCAGGTTTTTTAAATTTTTTGAAGGTGATATCATGTTTAATGAAACAGTTTGCATTTCAACGAGGGCAGAATTTGTAACTGTAAAGGCAATTGAAATATCGCGTAGGAGTGAAATTGAGGTCAAGAGCTTAAGGCAATGTGGTACAGCGCATAATTCTGCCGCATATCTGATAATCTGAAATAATTTTAGAGTAACGCCCTCAAGTAACTAACTGAAGTTTCTTTTAGCCTGAAGAAAGGATGGTACGTCGTCGGCGCAACACAGAAGACAGTGATCTCATCACAAAGGTATGATGTTACCTTATTCGATAGCAATTCATTTTTGAGCGAGGTTAAGGCAAAAAAGGTGCAGTAAGAGACCAGTAGAATTTCTATCAGAATAAAAATATTCTGGAGATCACAGAAAAGTTTAGCACTTGTTATGGATAACTGAAATACTGTAGTATTCATATGTGTGTTTTTGCCCAGTGTAAGCGGAGCTAAGAAGCGTATTTCCTCTCAGTAGATCTTATTCAGATGGTGCCCCAGGTTTTACTCAAAGACTTGTAAATTTGAGTCACTTTGTACATCATAAAGAATATTTTACATAAAATACTTCTCAGATGCTGTCATTTGAATGGTCAAACATAAAGGTTTCATCCTCACACAAATTTGAAGTTAGAGGCATCTTTTTCACCAATGGGAACACTGCCTATTTAAATGGTCAGGTACAAAGATCATATTCATATTTAAATGTCGGAGCCCTCTAGAACTGCATCATGGACGTTGTAATGGGTGACAAGGATGACAGGTATTACGTCAGCCTTTAACAAATTATACAGCCATTTTCAGATTGAATATAACATGAGAATACCTAAGGTGCTTTAGAACTTTCAAAAGCTTTTTCGTAACTCAACCTTGCACCGAAGAGAGTACAATACTCCATATGAGAAGCATCTTAAAGCTGCTATTTATAAAGCTGCTCAGTAAGGTTTTTAAGTAAAAAAAAAAAACGTTAAGTACACATAACAGATGTACCATAAGTAATGCTAAACAACAGTGGCCTTTAATTTTGCATCAGAAAGCATTTCTTAAAATATAAGGATCATATATCCGAAGTGTTAAAACCGGGTTCTAAAGTCTCCGCCATTGGCAGATTACTATTTCTAACTAGGAGAAATTTTCTGGTTTAAGTAAACCGAACTTGTAACAAAACAAAGACAATGACTTAAATATAACAGTATGTGCCAATTACCACATCGATATGGTGTAAGGCGCGCCTGTGGAAAAACAGAAATACAAGATTTCGCAATAAAGTTAATTGAAAGTAGCACCAACGATCCTTCTGTCGGGAACTTGATCGGTGCTTAGAGCTAATCCAGCATTTGCGTCTAGTTCGGTTTTAATTCCTGTCGTGAGAAATGCATAATTGGGACTAGCCGTAAGAGGGGTTTCGATCGAAATTATAGAAATTTGAAGCCAAGAAACTAAATGCAAAGCTGTTAACCTATTTCAGAACTTTCACATCTTCTGGATTAATTAAAACGTGTCTTTAAAAGCCCGACCCAGCTACTCTTTTAATCTTCAAGATATTGAAACACACGCTCGAGAAACTTCAGATAGCACTTCCTCGAAAAACTGAAACCATGCTTGGCAGATAGAGCCAACATTTGTGGTACATGTCACTGCATTTTAAACATCGTCAGAAATTGCTACAAAATGTTATCTTCTGAAAATGATATTCTTTTCACGATTTGAACAATAAAGAAACTGGTCACGTTTGACGTATAATTTGCAATCAAAGGGAGAAAACAGGGAAATTTCCAGTCATAATACGAGCAAGAGGAAGTTGTAATTTTCCTTTCCTGTTCAGTGATGTTATTAGCAAAAGTAGAACATCACGCAACTTCCTTACTTGACAAATATCTACATTCCCATCACCTATATCTGATATTATCTGATATTTTACGAGAAAATTGGATTTTTTATACAAAAGTTACAATTCAGTTGTAAAGTTTACAATATACTATTGACACTACGTACTATCGTTCTCTATGGCAAATATTTTGTAAAGAGGAAAAGATAAAGAGAAAAAGTCTTCTCCTCTAAACTCTCAACTATAGGCTTCCAAAGATCGTGACGTTATTTTAGCAGACCAGCTTTAAAGACCAACAAACTTCGATATGAAACGCTGAAGCATGCGATGGTAAGATCCAGTCAAAGGCTATGGTGAGAGCCCAAATGGCGATGAAGTTTGTGACTTTTTTACGTTTGGCGAAACTTTCGTATTAAAACCAAAAAATTTCAAGTTTGTTGCTTATCTATCCTCAGCGATTCTTGCCCTATTTTTTTTTATTCCTACCTCTTTAAAGGTCGTCTGACATAGCCAGCTTATACTCTCATTCAACTTAGTTTGCTTTGATCGGGTTACCATGTCAGAATTTACGAGAAAGAAGCGCAATTTTAAAGGAACCACCGCTAAGATATTTCGAGTAAGTTTGCGCCTTGAGCAGCTACTTTCAAACTTAACGAGACCAATTTGGCAAAATATTAGTTTGGTGAAATGTAAAAATTCAATAGAAGGATTAATTAGTCAAAACGAAAGAAGGTTGGAGAAGAAACAAAATTGTTGCAATTGTACATTTGGAAAATTTTTCAAGATGAAACGAGTTTTTAACTTAAAGAAGACTACACTGACGAAAAATTGAAAAGACCAAAAAGAGAGAAATATGTTAAAAAAAGGGAAAAATTATTTCGAGAGATAGAGATGATTAAAACGGATTTCAAATAAGAACGAATTACAGAGTAAAATTAATTTTCCAAGATGAACAACGACGTACATGCAGATTCATTAAAAAGCACAAGGTGTGTCTAGGTTACATGAAACTGAATAACTTAAAGTCCTTTTTTGACGGCAGGTTTGTTTTAAATTAACATTAAATTTTTTCATTGAAAAGTATTCCACGTATGTAGTAAATGCTACCTCTAATATTATTTTCTCTATAAATAGAGCTGTCGCACGAATGACTTTATCGCCACGTATTTCAATAGCCATTCTATCATTGACGTCTTTCGCCATTGTAATGCAAACCTTGAAACTATTCCAAAAATAGAGTTGACGTAAACCTGAATTCGTCAGCACATATGCCACAGGTGAAATGGTTCATCTTAGTCCCTCTTTGCTCTTAAAATAGAACTTCGAAACAATGTTGATACACGAGCAAGTTTCGAGTAACATCTCGAACCACCTCACCACCATTTGCGCTGCGAGAACCTTCTGACGTCAACATATGAAGAGTGTTGCGTTTACAAAACTTCACTTTTTTAAAACTGATGGCTCGATTCTTTAAATCGAAATTCAGTAGTTATGATTCAGTAATTAGTATTTCCTACGGATTCAGCGTGGGAAAACCGGGCAACAAGTGTTTGTCGATCGAGAACAAAAAAATCGCCTCGCAAAGTATAACTCGCAAATGGTTTTAAATGAAAATGGTATAATCTCAATTTTATCAAAATTAAATTACTTTTTCGGTAAACCAACTTCATTTTTAAAAGTGACAGTACAAACATAATTCATAAAATGGGATTTCAAGGACATTCTTTTGATATATTGTACATGATCATTATTTCATTAAAACACACCCGCTCTTGTATCACTGACAAAAGCAAAGGAAATATAGTGCTCAGTATAGCACAACTGTAATTTACCGGTGGGTGAGAGTAATTATCACAATTTAATAAGCAAACGTGTACCTTCTTATCAGAAAGTTATTGCATGACCGAAAGAACAGTTATTAGCTTATCGACCTAGGGCAGATACCAGTTTTTACCACTACAGCACTTGCACGGTCAGTAGATACGAAGAGAAAAAAAACACTGGTGGGAAATTGTCTTCGATGACCACGCAAATTTGCGGAACAAAGCTTGTAAGAAGGTGAGCCAGTATGATAAACCCAATATCCGAACACTTTTTCGAATAGTGTGTGATTAAAATTGTGAAATGAATGCCCAATATTCGTGTCTTGAGAGAGGTTTCCTCAATTTGAGGTGAAATCAATATATAACTGAGTCACGCTTTTGATAAAGAGTTTGGGAGTCATTCTAACAACTCATTTCAGGCGACCCAACGAAATTTTACGAGAGCGCCTTGAATAATGATCTGAAGCATTAAGAAATGAACAGTCAAGTACTGTAAACCATTAGCCTTGCTTGAAAGTGTACAGGTGTCTGAGCATATTCTTAAAGAGAGCGTCAGTTCATTGCCTCGGGCTGTAATAACTTCTAGGGAAAAAATTGGTTGTTTTATTAAGTATTCTATTCCTAGCAGCTATTAGCGGCATTATATCGCTCTCTGAAGGCGACTGTTAATCTTTTAGAGTTGGTGACGGCGTAAAGGCGGGCATGAAAGCTGCGACAACCGGTCTAAAAAATCGAAATTAGAGGCTTTCTCGAGATTCGTAAATTGGAAATCGCTGATATTTTTGTGTTGTACATTTTTAGCATAGATTACGACTGCCCTATAACAGGAAGAACAATTCCGAGATAAATATTTAAACGAATGTCGAGAAAACCATTCTATTGTCTTGTTCTTGTCAACGAGACATAAAAATAAGAAATTAGAAAAAGGTGAATCTTTGTTTTCCATGTTAGATTTTTTTGAAAGGAACAATCATGCGGTTTAAATTTCAGGGAAGTTCTTTCAAGTCATGACAGAAACTTTGCTCCCTCTGGACGTGCTTAGATTGTTGGAAATCCTGAAGACTCTGGAATTCTCGATGCCGAGAGCTTCGTATCTCCACCATGATTATGTTTCCAAATCAGTTGGACCAAGCTTTACAAATTGTAAACTGTAGTGTCTTACCAATACATTTCCATCTGCCTGTACGGGAAACGGCATTTTCGGCAAGATGTCGTATTTTTTATCATTATTATTTTTTTTTTTTCAGTGAACAACGCTCCTGAATTTTGATAGGACATTAAAAGACAAAACATTATTTTAATCGCTATGTTGTAAGTTCCGCACTTGCCAATGCGATGATTTCATTAAAACTCTGTACGAGAACAAGCTATCTCACATGTAGACAGAAAGTTCTAGATTGTTCTTAATGATATCGTTTAATTTTCCTTCATCGCCATATGCAAGCAAGGTTTAACTGCAGATCTGTATTTCGATTGGGGACATTTAAGACCTTCCTCTGAAAATCCTAAAATCGTGCTTCATAAAAATGCCTACTGACAAACTCTCAAGAATCAGGAACTGCAATATTGTACTAATACGTCTCCAACAACTATTAACCTGAATCTATTTTTGCTCCAGAAAAGTTGATATCAAATTTTATGGCTTTGTATTTCAACCCACTCTTTTCTAAGACAAAAGGGTATAACAATGAAACAAGCAAAGAAATCCTGTAATAAAGCGTCGGAGAAATTAGACAGAGACAAAAGTGTGTCTGAATTCCAGAAAAATTCAAGCAAAAACTGGAGCGTGAGAACTGTGGAAGTTTGCTAAAGAGCTGTCGTGAGGGAATAAAAAGGAAAAAGGAAGTTAAAAGGCCTAATCTCAGAGTTGATCGCAGAGACTTCTAACACTGCCATAGTGAGGTAATCGGATATGCAAACGTAGGAAGTGCGAGCAAATAGGTCTCATATGATAAGTGATTTCAAGCTTCAAGCCTCTTAATATCATTTTAAGGCCGGAATAACACTTTCCCCACCTGCCTGTTACTCTATGAATATATATAAAGGCAAGTGGTCGGAGGTATCGCCGGCTTTAAAGCATTGTAGCGGAGAATACTGTAAACTAGGATTAGAGTGTCAAACTAAAGCACACCTTTGCACACTGAGCTCAAAATGAACAAGAGTTTACTTTATTCAAAATGGGTAGGATTTTTATTACTATTGTTATTTTCTCGTGATTTAGTGTTTTGTTCATGGTTAGATTTTAATAGATAGTTACTTTAGTTGTTAAAAACTTGTCATGATATTCTAGCACTAAAGACACACTCCGATGCCGTTAGTAACTGTCTGATCTCAAATAGATATAAAAGCAGGAGCACCAAGACAATTAAAAGTTAGTAATAATTCTTAATCCTCCAATTGAACCTCAGGAGTTCACGCTTTGCTAAATTATTTGACGGTACTTCTTGTCTTTAACACCAAAAGTGCATCTTGGAACAAACTATCCTTGTCGAAGAAAATTTATAAGCGATTTTTGTTGACACGGAAGATACCCAACCTTTTGGGTTTAATTTTAGTCAATTTTTTTTTAGTCCGTTTTCAAAAACCAAGTTTGCTGGTCGAAAAAAAAACAAGATTGACTATTTAAATTATTAAAGACGTTAACTATTGCGCTATCTTAGCAAAAATTCGTCAATTTTTAACTTTTAAGTCACAACGAAGCTAGAAAACACAAAGCACAGATAACAAAAGTCATAAACAGTTCCTGTCATCTTTTTCTTCCAACAGATTCTCTTTGTCCTAAGCTTCCTCGTCTGCACGATCACCTTCATAAACGGACATCCAAACGCGTTTTCCTATTCGGAATCGAGCTGGACGCCGGAGAGTTCCGAAGATGACGTCAGTTCCCGATCCTTTCCGTACGAAGATATAACACCGTCCGAAGATATGGAGGATTTAGATCCAGAATATAGTTTAGACGACGTGGAGGACGATCTAGAAGATGATCTTTATGAATACGCCTTTTTGACCAACAACAAACGAAATCCAAATTCTGTAAGTATGAGCGGATGTTAGGATTTTGGGCGAAAAAAATATGTTAAATTTCACTCGGATACAATCGGAAAGGGTTCACTTTATCCTGTCTTGTTGTTTTACTGATTTCTCAGGAACACAATACAGGGATGTAATAAAACATCAGGTCACTGGCTATCTTCCATTCGCTAATTTTGGTGCAGTTTCAAATGTTTACAAATTTCAAGTTAAATAACCGCTTGATTTCGCTAACAATAGCGAATTGGGAAGTACAAAAAATCTCAGAATGAAATATATAAATGCAAAACATTGAGGAATTGCCCCATGAAATGCTATTTCCTGGACTGGGAGATTTAAAATTTAACCACATATATAAACAAATTCTTTTCGCTCGATACAAATCGTCCTCAATGGCCGGACACTTTAAACGTAATGAGCCTTTAGTTAGGTTATAGTATACAACGGCATTGGGCTGTCCCCCCAGGGTGAGAATGGCATAGTTCCGTAATAGATGTAAAAAAAGGGGGTAATATAGCAATCTTACGCCATGTAGTGAATTCGTGTTATTGATTACTTGCATTCAATTTCGATCTTGCAATCAAGAGAAGGATGATTTCATCCATGCATCTTTTTGAAATAGATTTTATTTAACCAATTTATGAAGGGCCTTTCAACTAAAATTTAAACTTAATTCAAATCCTTAACCTTCGAACTAACAGAATACAGAATGTGCCATTTATAAACTCCAAGGCGTCCATTAAAATCCACAGTAACGTTTATAATGAAGAAAGATTTTTTTCAAATTGTTTAGTTTACTTCCTTTCCTTAAATAGCAGCGGGGTATTCGCAAACGAAGTGTTTACGGAAGAAGTTAGGTTTCTGATGCTGTCTAGAGAAATAATCCAAGATTATACTGATATCACGTTAGTATGCACTGTCATTCGGTAGTCTAATAGACCAGAAAGGTGCAAAACTGGATACAGATACAGGTACAGGCTGTGTACATGTGCACACCTGCAAATTCTAAGTTTGTTTTCACTTCTTGTACTTCTTTGATAGCTTTGCTCAGATCTAGCTTATTCATGAAACTCCTGCTACCCAGGTGCAACAAACGAATATGATACGATAACCAGATATAGGTTGGTTTTAAATATTCTCTTTTCTTTACTGACAGAATCCAGGAGCTCATTACCCGGAGCCTCCATACCAATTGTACTCTTGAGTCAACCCTGTTCCGTATCTTTTTATTATTAAAACTGAAATATGTGAAGGGGGGGTACTTTTTTAATTTCCTGCGAAAACACGCCGACGTTCGCATAATAGCCCAAAAAAATGGTAAACTTTCCGCACTTTTCACCGTTATATTTTCACCGCTCCGAACAATTTTTTTTTCTCGAAGATATTAGCTCTACAGCTACACTGAATTTCGAGCTTAAATAAAGTATATGTATGTATGTATGTATTGAAATACTTTCGTGCGGCCTGCATGTGACGTAAACAATAGAGGACAATAGCTATCTTATGATTGACTATTATGTAAAGATCCGCAAAGAATCCCGTGGGAGGTGCCTCTAAAGTTAAAAAGATACGGTACAGGGTTGACCCAGAGGGTAAGTATGGAAGATGGAAGCTCCGGACAATAGGCTCCTGCTGAATCCCATGTTTGCTGTTTTGTTTGTTGTTTTATTTTTTTATTTTTTCTCTTAGAGAGCCGATAAAAGTTTCAAGAATGCTGCTGGATATTATCTGATTGAAAACTCGAACGGAAATGTAATAGGAACAAAGGACTTGTCCAAGTGTATGACGAGGGGTGAGTGATTTTAACTGCTCGCGCTTATATCAGTAAGACATACAGAAACACGCGGAGATAGTTGTGGCACTGAGTTAGTTAAGAAGTGTTTTATTTCTGTCATCATACCAGAAAATGGTAGGAAATTAAGCTGTTGACGCGCAATTTTGTCTCTACGGCCGCTCGTAGGTGAATAGTACTTGATAATTACTTCCATACTAGCCAATCAGCGTGCGCGAAAAGTGCTATTCACCTGTGTTATTTATGCTTGTCACAATAAGTATATACCGCACAGCTGTCAAACAGGTGAACAGCGCTTTTTTGCGTGCGTTTATTGGCTAGCTCGGAAGTGATTATCTCCAAGCAACCGATAGACTAAAATCACCTGTCGAGAGTTTAACTTCCAAACATTTGTTTCAGTTTGCTTGTTTTTTTAATTGTTATTTTCTCGGTTTAAACTAAAACAATCTTTTACCCCAGTTACCTTACCCTCGATAAATTTCCACCACTAGCTACCGCTACTTCGGTGAATAGTCGTAAACCATTGATAATTTTTATTCGTGCCACTTTGTTGTAATTGTAATTCAGTGGTTGACCTAATAGGGATTGTTAATTTTCATTTATCGATGAGGCTATAACTTATTCAGCAAAAGTAACTGTTTCTGTCGGTTAAGTTTGTTTACATTAACCCTTTACACGATAACATGAGAATCCATATTCTGCGTACACCTCTATACATTTTCTTTACGTATTGCAAGGAGAAGTCGTTGAAAAATCAAAAGCTCCCTAGGTCGGCGATCATTTCTGTTATTCTCATGATCTTAATGAGTTATTCAGCCGTATAACTGTAAGGAGAAATTAGATACTGGTAATTTTTAGTGTTTAAAGTGACAGAAGATGTAAAAGGAATAGTCTTACCAAGCGATTTCTCATATTGAGTTTCACATAATTAATATGCTGTTTTCACTATTGGTTTTTCAATGCAGGCATATTTGAAGTAGGAAGGACTCCAGGTGGCCTACCATTTTACAGGAATAAGGCAACTCAAAAGTACTTAGCCATCGACCCAAACGGAACCGTTTATATGTCGGTAAGAAGGCAATTATTGGGTGGTAATATTCTGCGGGGCCAGGTTGTTCGAGAGGGTGTTAACGTTAATCTAGGATTAAACGTAACCTTGGCTTTAATTTCTCACGCAGAAGAGTACGTATAATGTTAAGGTTTTGACTCGAAACTAATGGAAGAAAAAAACGAAAGAAAAGTCCCTTTGCAGAGCTATGAAATTAAACGAAAGATTTACACTAACCCCGCATTAGGTAAACCGTGGTTTGGAACAATCTGGCCCCGAGCAATAACGAGTTTGATGAAAATACGAGCTACCAAGATCCAAAGATTCAATTAAGGGTGGGAAAAGGCATACGTTTCTAAAAAACTCTGGTGCTGTGTCGGTGAGGGGGTGGGGGGGGGGGGGGTATCATTATCAGCTGAGTTGATGAAGTAAATTGGCCCAGTAAAGAGGTTCTATCTGACGAAGGGCTAACGCTCGAAACGTCAGCTTTAGAACTGTTAACAGTGGTAAATTTACATAAGAAACTCACTCTATAAAACCAAACCTAAAATCAGTCTCGTACAAAAAACATTGGACACGAATTTGGAAATATAAGTTGAACATTTTCAATTGCAGGAACTGCAATTTTTTTCAAGAAAACTCACTGAAATGTCCAGTCTATTTATGGCTAACGCTAAAGAAACAAAAGCAGGCACTAAAAATAAAGGTCACCAGGGTGTGTCGGTCATATAAAAGGAAAAAGGAAAAAAAATTTTACTATCATTGAAAAAATATATATATCAATACGCATGCGTAGAAAGTTCTCGCAAGCGTGACAGAATAACACACCAAACATCTGAACCAATGCTCTGGGTAAACGTAAGGTGGAACGTCAGTTAATTTCTTTGCTGCGCTCTGATCATAAACTAAGCTAGGAGCTGGCCAAGCCCTTCTCTTAGACCTTACGATGAAACACTTTATCACTTTCATGAAAAGACTGTATCCATAACTGACAAAAAATTCCCGCACTTTCAAACACTGCTACTTGTAAACTTTACATATGAACCGTGAGATATCACTAAAGTTGGAAAAAAAAACCCTCTCGAGAGCCATACACTTCATAGACCTTATCGAGGAATACCCAACTCAACTCAACCCCCCCCCCTCCCCCTTACTGCCTTCGTGCTATCTTTTAGATATAAAATGAATCTGCTTTTATTTTGCAGCCAACTCAAAACAGTGATACTGTCATCTACACTATCAACGATACCCGTGACTTGAGCATAATATACTTATACCGCCTTGTTGGTCAAAACAAGCGATTATATCTGGACCTCTCGCCTCAGAGTAACACGGTCGGACCAGCGAACACCAGTAATACAACTAAATTTCGCTCTAGAAATGGCGTAAAAACCTGTTAACAAGTAGTGGACCTAGACAATTTTAAGAACTTTTAGATTTTAGGATGAATATAAAGACCACGCGTATTGGATATCACAGTAAGTTATTTTGCAAAATTAAAGGAACTTTTAAAGTCTTATTAAGCTTCATCAGCTTTATTCCTTTGGCGCATAACAGTGAATATTGATGTATCATGCTTTGAGTTACACATTTGATCTAAAAAAGTCACAGATTTCTGTTTTTTTTCTGACCTTTCCCACTTCTTAATTCTTAAATTCGCTGGAGTGAACATCTAACCTTATCCTTATAACAGACGTAAGGGTATCGGTTAGGATGTTACATCTTAACAAACAGCCGGATTCTCTTCGTTTTTTTTTTTTACCGAAGGGAATGTAAACCAGCGAGAAGGGAAAATTTAAAATGATCATAAGACTCACTTGTTCCTTTGCAACAATCTATCGAACGCTAGCTCACGATTCCCATTAAAAATGAAATCTTAAAAGAAAGCCATTTTCTCTACCAAATTGCAACCCTAAAAATAGGAGATTTCTTATAACTTTTATGTTAATGTAAAAGCTAACCCCCTTATCTCTAATCGCAAAATGTAAAAACTACTTAGGATCGTTTAGCCAAATTGTTTTCGTCTCTTTACAAATCTTGAATAAACAGTGGAGACAGTTGAAGTGGGACTCCCGTTTAAGGACGCTGGCTCGCGTCCCGCGCATTGTTTCAGCACTCGAGAATCTCATATGCGTATTTATAACCCATCTGAGATCCTTACGTCTCTATCAACTGAGTTGATCTAGTCTATTCCCCATTAAAATTGAACCTTTTTAGACACAGATTTAAGATAAGATTTCACACAGAGTAAGTGGAAGAGGCGAGAGTCTAACTGCACCATTCAATTCTAATGACCTTAAGCAAACTACAAAAGATCTCATAAGTAGAACAGTAGTTCAGCACGTGCGTCTTTAAAAAACTTACATCACTTTCTTTCTTGTACATTTCTTCGCCGTCTTCTGCAAATCAACAACATGAAATCACCGAAATTTTCGTCGTCTGCGAACCGACGGAAATTGCGACGACAAATTATTTCAATTTCCAATTGGGTCTCAAGGCTGGTTATAATTATATTTATGTTATGCTAAAGTCGAGGTTTTGCGCCGTAAGAAAAGGTAAATACATGCAGCGATTTTCGAGGTTTTATAACTAAAAATAGAAATTAATTTTTTAATCGACATCTTCCTTAAGACTGCCGTCCTGATTGCTTAATTAAGGTCCTTAAATGTGAAGGAACCGTTTTCAATTGAATGTTTAGAGTTATCCGGTCGGAATGACAATGGTTTTAATTTACTTCAGCAGTCTGTTTGATTAGTCAAGAAAAATTGCATCACGTAAGGCACCAATTCGATGTCAGACGATAACCAAAACACTAAAGTAAAGTAAAGTAAAACTTTATTTACACAGGGTAGCTCACTCAGCTTCAAGGCTGGTCCCCATAGGCTTCCTGTACTCACTTAACGTTCTCATCAGCAAGTTGAGAAATTTTCAGTTGTTCTGGTAAACTTTTTTGATTCCTTTAGTTTTGCATCCCTGATACTCAATTAGAAAGGGTCTAATTTTCTGTACGTGAATAGATTGAGTTTCAGCAAGATAACATTTCTTTTTTCTTTATCAGCAAGCTTATTTTAAAATGTTTTCCTTTGTGCTGAAACATCTAATCATTGTGTAAGCCTTTGCAAAGGTATGAGTTGGCACTGACGAGGTTAGAAAAAAACAAATATTAGTGACTAAGTATGGAAAATAATGGCTCGATTTATGAATTATATTGCTTCACCATGCTCCTTAGATCTCCACACCTTTTAAAATTAACAATCGAAGACATAAAAATAAGCCAACAAATCTCTGTCTTTTGTCAGTTTTATTAAACGTAGTAAAAACTATTTTCTTTCCTGTTTTGATTTTGTGTTGGTAATATTTCAGTTACTTGTTGTCAACAAACAGTAACAAACGATATTTTATCGGTCAAAGTCAAGAAGCCCACTTTCAAAGAAACATGCGATATTTTAGATACGAATTAAAGTTCTAACCTATGATACGTTCCAACAAAAATGGTAGTTATTAACGTAATTTGAGAAAGAAACAGCAATCTATATCAACTTCATTTTAACTAAGGCAGTATTCAACTTTTCTGTCTCATGGACTACATTGTCTATAAACTCTTCAAGATTGCTCAGTATAGTTCTGGGAATTTAAGATTATACGACTGAGGTTGGTCATTCTTTAGTAGCAAAAACATGCAAAGGCTTCCAACGTCATGAGGAAGTTACCGAAAATGATATACGGTTTCACTCTCTGAATTACGGCTGCCGTCATTAACTTATGAACACTGCCGAAAATCAGTCGAGTTGGAGTGCGCACGAACATTATCGGACGTTAATGGCAAATCCAGCAAGGACGAACTGGGGAGATGCGTGAGGAATGGTCTGAAGTGAGCTCACTTCGTTGTATTACGAACATGTTAAAAGTACGAATATTTGTATTGGCTAAATCAGCTCTGAGAATTCTGCGTAAAATTGTAACATATATTTAAGCACAAAGCATTTAATTTAATTACAGAAACGTGGTGCAGATCTACACAATCTGCATCACGTGAGAACCATATGATATTCAGGCGTATGTTCTGGTACGGAGTGCTTATCAAAGAGATCCTGCCGTCAATAAACAAAAAAAAGTGCAACAATCAAGAGACGCGTTGCTTAAGTTTTGAAGCTCTCTTTACATTAGGAGCTGTTTGATAGATCAATGCGTCCAGCACTATGGAATTTGGCACCAAAAATCACAATTGTTACAAGTTTGATTGAACTAACTTCCCTCATATCGAAAATTATCATTGATAATAGACTTTGAAATGAATACATTTTTCTTACCAGCCAAAAGTAGGTTTTGTCACATATACACATGAAAAACTTTCTCCGTTTCAATACACGGATTCCGCTGACATATTACTGTCTTATTTGCCACCATGACGATGTCATGACTCATTCGTGGGGGGGGGGAAGGGGAAGAGGGCTATAATTGTTCTCTTTATGCGTAATCCCATGCATTCTGCCGCACGTGACAAACTGCAAATTTTGAAATTTCCGAAAGAGATCGTCAGGTTGAATCGGGAGGTAGCAAGGATGCAAAAACTATAGCCGGCTCCTTCTATCCAACCCTTCTCCACCAGAATACACAACTAAACACTCCGTTTTCGCAAAAGATTAATTGTATGAACAAGCTGTATGCCGTAAAAGCAGACGGAATTGAAAAATATCTACTTCAAAATAAATACTTTATTATCCTGCCCACTTGTCACAAGAATACGTCCATCTGGTGCTGCTAAAATTCCAAAGGTTTTGGCAAACGAGTGATACTTTCCCCTGTGAAGCGACCGTCTAGAGAAAACTGCTGTACCCGGTCATTGTCAGTGTCACGAAGATTATCGGAGCTGTCTACCAGCAGATAATATGGCCAATTCAATTCTCCATCTTGATTCCCTTCCTTGCCAAACTTGTATAAAAATGTTCCTGGCTAATGAAAAACTTTTATGCACTGATTGCCTCCATCACATACAAGAAACATGTTTTTGTAAGCAGCAGGTTGAATCACTGAGTTTCTCTGGGCCTCTGTCTCCGAATGCAAAAACAGATTCTCTCTCTTTTGACATCACTTGTATCCTATTACTGCCATATTCAGTTACAACAATGCGCTCTTCATGATCCAAACAAACATCGAGTGGACCATCAAACTCTCCCTTTCCTGAACCTTTTTGTCCTCAAGCTTTTCACGACAGTCCCTGTCTTGTTATCGATGTGTTGTATTCTACTATTTTCACTAACGGCCACAAGAATCTCTTTATCATTTAAATACCACACGCCTGTTGGGACCTCAAATTGTCCTAGTTCTTTCCTTAGCTTCCAATTTTTCTCACACGGTTTCCATCTCTATCAAATACATAAACACAGTGGTCATTGCTATCTATCACAACTATCTCGCCTTTCTCATTAACAGCAATTCTAGTCAAATATTGAGACGTGTCTCCTGGAAAGAGCTTCAAGTTCAACTCGTCTATAGTAATAAGTTCACTTTCTTTCACATTTAACGTATAAGGGCAGATAACTAATATGTAACTAATATGGAAAAAATATATATCTCGATCATGCTATAATTTTTTCATTTTACGTTTATTTCCTAAAGGCTCTTTTCAGTTGCAAACGAATCTGTATTCATCTAAGAACAAAAGACCAAACGTACAATTCTGCTTTGCGGCAACGAAACCTCTGTAGCATCGCAAGCACAGACAGGCTCAACTTTTTATTTGCTCCATTTATTAGAAGACTTTTCTTCCCTAATAAAAAAACTAGATGCTGGTCACTCTCAGGGTTTAAATGGTTAAAGTTACCTTAATCAGACGAGAGAACTACAACCCTCCAGCATAGTGAGTGTACAGCTCGTCCGATTTGTCTCGGACAAATTGCCAGGCAAGTTTACGCTCTGTTAATCTGAAAACTAAATCTTGAAACTGAAATCGATTTATTACCCATTTTGCTAAAGTATCAAGCTAATGAACAGATCCCTTTACTAAATACCTAAAGCTTACCTGCCCGCTACACCAGCGATAACGAAAACCGTATCCTGTGACCAGACATCAGTCTGAAAAACGTAAAAAAAAACTAAAAAATAAAATTCACGTAGTCAGGCACAAAAAGTAGCAAGTACACAGGGTTATCATTCATTCAAGCATTATTTCTCCCTTCTCTCCTACCTGGAGTGAATGCTGGAGAACACAGGTCACCCACTAACAGGTAGCAACTTTTGCCGAGCTCTTATTTGCCACGCTCTTGACCCTTGATAACCGATCATTAGTATTCATATTCTCCACACTGCTCGCTATACATTTACTAGGGTACTGACAGGGAGAATTTGTGTCACAATCAAGATCCGCACTAATTAGTGATCATGTATGTTATTCTCATCACCTTTACATTTGTCACAAGAGTAACACCGTAAGGAGACATTAGAAGCCAGTCCCTCTTATTTTCACATAGTTTTGTTGGCCTTTTTATAACATTCTATTCCCGTGATTTTCTTGTTTGTTTGTTTTTTTAATTTTCATGTTTGTTTGTTTTTTTAATTTTCATGTTTGTTTGTTTGCTTTTTGCCAAGAATAGTGGATATCTTTGTAACTGAGAGCTTTTGGCAACGTTAGCCGAGATGAACTGTTTTGTATCAGGAAAACTATTGAAATGAGAAGGTAAAATGCATCGTGGAATGATTTGTACGTTTCAGAAAAAAAAACTTTCACACCATTGAAGGCATCAAGATTTTGAACCCAAATGAATG